CGGGTCCGTCTTGGAGCCAGCTGGCATTGGCTCTATCGGACATGAGGGAGGCTTCTAGCAGCTTCTCACAGAAGCCACCCCTGTAGCCCCCGCACTACCAAAACCTTGCCATGCAAACCCAATAAATCTAGGTTAGTTACTACTGTCCAAAAAAAAAACCAAACCCCACAAAACAAAAAAACCCCACACTTTTGCTGAATTTTGCTGAGTGTGACAAATTTTTTTTGATGGGGGTGTTCGTGGGGACGGCCCCTATGAAGAAGTAGCAGGCAAGGTCTGCTGTGTAGAAGCCAAATAGCTTTGTTGCATCCTCTATCCATTTGTGGACTATAAAAACAAAGATCTTTGGGACGCTTGGAAAGCTACCTGGTTGCCGTATACACATATCCCCTTCTCAGCAAAACTTTTAACATTCAACAGGAGTTCAACATTATAGTGGCACTGTTCATCTAAGACCACCACCATAAAGAGCTACTAAAGATTTAATGGACTGAGAATGATGGACAGAATTGACTGTCATATGAAATGTCCCATTTCTAAGCACAAAAATGTTTAGCTATAAAATTGAACAACGGACAATAAAAGAAAAAGCAATTATTTATTAACCTTTAGAGAGCAGCTAAAGAGGCTTTCTTATCTCTACCACCCTTGCTTTTTTTTCAGAACAGAGGTGACTATTCACAGGATCAAATGGAAACAAATTGGATTTATTATGTAATATTTACCTAGGGAAAAAAACTTGTTACAAATAGTAATTTCTGGAGAAGGAAAGAAACCCCGAAAGCCCTGCTTTACACCTCTCCGGCATGGAGGAGCAATGGCCTGCAGGTGGCAGACTGGCCCAGAAGAGCAGTGACACGCGGGTCCTTGGAGATCTGTCTCCCTCTCAGCTTATCAGCACAGGTCAGGTAACCACTTTGACAAGTTCCTTAGCAAAGCATTGAAAACAATAAATTTCTTGCAGTCCAACTGATGCCAAGACTGAAAAAATCAGTGTCTTTACCCTAGGAAGGAAAACAATTTATTATTCAAAACCACATGCTGTGAGTGTGAGTAGTATTCGACCTTTGCTGGTGAGATCAACCTGTACCTTATGTTCCCTGTGCAGTGCGCTGAGGCATCCATTACGAAGCTGGATTATACCGATCCCTGCCCAAAATAGCCTATGCTGCAAATTTGGAAGTCTAATCTCCTGCTGTTTAAAGTGCCATCAAATCTTGACTAGTGATGCTGACTTCTTCCATGGCATAAATCACATTTTCCCGAGACTGGCCTCTGCAGTGATGCAGAAATATTATAGGAAAATAAGACATTTTTTGCCCACAACTTACCATAAATAACCAAATTCACCATCAGAATTCAAAATCCAGGTCTGAGGCCAAGGTCTATGTGATTTGACTCAACTTTGGCTAACGAACAAACTAACGGTGACAGCTGCCTTGATGAGTACAGAGTTACTGGAAGAGCCTTGCTTCTTCTGAACCCGCACGACCTGCACTTTCGGCCCAAACGTGCCCATGAGTACTCTGCCCACAGGGAATGGGGAAAGCTTCGTGGTTTAGCCATCTTTCCTTGCTACAGGCCTGTACCTGAAGCCAATACTCCACACAGGCATTTACCATACAACTATTGACTCCTTTTGCAGCAGGTTTTAGACCTCTAGGACAGGGCTGCATTTGTACAGATGGCACCTTGTTCACATCACGGTTCAAACCACTACCTCTTGCTTAGCTTTTCCAACTGTTTGGTGATGTCTTGGCTGACACGGAAGTTTTAGCTGAGACATACTTAGTAGGGAATGCTAGGATTTGGGGGGCATATTATGTTTAAAGGTCTTGTTCAGGAAATCACTGTTCCTCTAGATCCCAACCTGCAGTTGCACCACCCAGTTTCTCTTAATGAGCGCTATCCTAGTCATAGGTGCAAGTCAGCAAGCTAGTAATCCAAGTAAAAGTGCAGAGAAAACCTCCATCTACCTGCGGTTTTAACAGCCTTTTTAACTTCACCGAGTTCAACAGCCTTCCCAAGCAAGCAGGTTCAGGCATTGTGTGTTTAACTGGCACCTCACCTGCTCCAGGATGCTAATGCTTATCAGTGCCTGAGCTGGCATATAGATGGGGGGGTCTGCTTCAAAAAAAATTAACGATGGGAAAGAGGAAACATTTAGTTCAAGGCAAGCAAAACTAAATGGTAGGCAGGTTACGATTCATTTAAGGTGAATGATTTTTCTGCAGGACACGGAAGAAATAGCAACGTGTAAATACCCATCCCGTTTTGCCTCCACAGAGCCATCCTGCTGAGCAGCAGTTATGCAGAGGTTGCTATTGTGTGAAGCCAACTCACTGCAGTGAGTCTGTTTTAAACAAAGTTAGAAGCTATAGCTTAACCAGCGTCACTGATCTTTATTGTAGCGATCAACAACATCTGAAATAATTTGATGTCATATCACTGCACGAGGGCTGTATGTTGAGAACAGAAGTTTCTTTTCTGAATTATGTTGTGACTTGTGAATTATAAGCTGGGACATCTCAGTCAAGCTCATCCATCAGTAAACACTTGAGAGACGCAGGGAAGGTTTTGCAGTAAATCGTACAGTTGCTTTAAATAAACACAGGGGATGAAGGCTAGCAAGAGCTCCGTTACTAGAGTTACAAGCATCATCCTATCTTATGTGAATAAACAACCTTAAGTAAATAGATATAAAGAAAATGGGTACAATTAAGAGACTCTCTCTTAATATTCCAACATCCATTGAGACGACCAACTCATTTTAATGGAGACTATGAGCAGAAACAGCAAGGAAACGCTAGTACAGCAGGGACAAGCAATAGGAGTGTATATCCAGGGACACCGGGGGCTTGCACAGATCACCATCCCTCTGTCCTTGGGGCCACCACTTTGTCTGTCTCCAGCCTACAACGGTACTTCTCTGTGGTGTATACAAATTTCAGTAAAAAAAGTTCTGGAAACACTTAATCCATTTGAAATGATGACTTCTGCAGAGAATTAAAACCTGTTTACAAATATTTTTCCTTCAACTGTAAAAACTGCACATTTCCAAATTGGAAAGATAGGGATTTTTTTTATGCTTTATAGCCACAGTTAACCAACTGTCATAAAAATGTCCTAAGATTATTAAAAAACACAGTGATTTTTACTGCCAGCATTACTTTGACTTCAGTACTTTCAAGGTCAATTTTGCATGTAATAACTCAAAATCAGACTAAGGCCTGCATTCTGGTTTGATTTTACAGGCCAGTTAAAGCAAGGAAAAAAGGGTTTTCACCCAACCTCTGTTACATGCCTACAATTAGGGAGTCTTATCTTTCCATGTATGAGTCAGAGGAGAGAGATTGAAATGCTTTCTTGAGAAGGCTTTTTTTTTTTCACTGATTGAAAAGGGTGATCTTTCTACCATCTAAGCATTATAAATAAAAGCCTAAATCCAAATATTTACATTGAAAATAGCTTACTTTGCAAAAGACATGAATCTCAATGATTTCAGAACGGAGCTAGGGATGTAGCTTTTATGGAAGGGTAAAAAGGACACTTAAAAACCCAAGAAAATTATGTTTGGAGATCCTTCTTTAGACAAACCACTTAGATTTTTTTTTTTTTTAATTGAACTACTCTTTAGCAGCCAAAATACCTATCTTTAGAAAAAGAGGCCATGATAAAAATCTATACAAGAATTAATAGCCCCATGCCAAGAAAAAAGGAAGAATTTCTAAAAAGCTTTCAGTGCTCCTCCAAGTAAACAGGAAAGGGATAACTTTCAAGTGAAACACGAGCAATTCCCACAGATTGTCTAATGGTAGGAACCATCAACATGAACACAACCTGCTTTTTCTCTTGCTGGAGAAGTCATGCTATAGGACTACTTCTGTAACC